AGATTTTGCCACATGTCAAACAATTTTATTTTAAATAAAAACTTACATATTATAATATACGTGTAGAAATTTTTTGAGTTTGAATAGGCTTAGATTTGCATATCTAAATCTTCAAAGATTATAATATTTTCACATTTATTTAAACATTTCTGTGCTCTCCTCATCTTCGAATCTCACCAAACAATTTAAAACTTAAATAATCTATTCCATAAATTTTTGTTTCGGCTTTTTCATCACGATATCAACGATTACTATCTTTATCGATAATAAAATATTATTGTTTAAGGTATAGCTATAAGAGAAATTTCAAAAAATGCCACTTTTCAAGTGTCACTTTACAAAAATGCCACATTTTTACAATCTTTACAAAAATGCCACTTTTTAAAAATTATTTATTCATTATATCATTTATGTTTGGGTTAACTATGTTGTATTAGGGTTTAGTTTTGGGGTTTTAGGGGTTTTAGGGGTCAAAAGATTTTTTAAGGTTTAAAATTTTAAGATTTAGGCTCTAAAAAATCATAATTAGTGGCATTTTTGTAAATGGACACCAAAAATGGCATTAATGTGGACACAACAAGTGGCGTTTTTGCAAATGTCCCTAGATATAATCACTGATATAAGGTGATCTAATTTATTTTTTCATTTTTCTGTTTGGTTTTATTTGACAGATAATAAAATAATAATAAATTTAAAAAATCTTATTTTGTAAAATTTGATTCGTCCACCTTATAATTAATTTTGTCAAAGCATGTTTGAGTCAATCGATGAGATATATACAAGTGTAAATAATAATTTTTTACTAGATTTAGCCACATGTTAAAAGTTTTTTTATTTAAAAATAATAATATCTTTATTTGTAAATTAGTAAAGAGGTAAACTTAATTTAAATAGGATTAGGATATCTAATTATTTGGAAAATATGTGATGAAATTTATTTGAAAATCAATTAATATAAAAAATAAAATAGAAAAGTAAAAAGATATATATTTGATAGATTTTTCTATAAGTGGTTTTGTATTAACGTTCTTAATCTTATTTTATTACTTCATGTAGTGACTTTTTATGGATCAACTTTTCATGGAGCAATTTAATTTTGCATTTTTTTTTGTTTTTAATTATTTTTCGCGGGTTATAAAATATTTAAAGAGTAAATAAGTTGAAATATAAATATAAGAATAAGTTCATCAACAATATTTGAGTAATAAAATAATAAAAAGAGGAAGAAGTATACCGAATTTAGTTAAGAGTAAATAAAACTAATAATTTGAATATATTTGATAAAATTTAATTGTAAATCAAATAATAAAATTATCAAAATAAATAAATAAATGTTATGCTTCTCAATCAGTTGTTTTGTAGCAACGTTTTTACTTTTATTTTATTTAATTTAGGGGCAATTACAAAAATGCCACTTTTTGTGTGCACATTTGCAAGAATGCCACTTAGGGGTGCCCATTTGCAAAAATGCCACTAAGTATAGATTTATAAAACCTATATTTTAAAATTCTAAACCTAAAAAATGTTTTGACCCCTAAAACCCCCTAAACCCTCATAACTAAACCCTAATAGAACATAATTAACCCAAACATAAATGATATAAAGAAAAAATAATTTTGAAAAAGTGACATTTTTGTAAAAATTTTAAAAATATGGCATTTTTGTAAAGTGGCACTTGAAAAGTGATATTTTTAAAAATTTGTCTTTAATTTAACGGGTGATCTAATTTTGTTTTTCACAGTTAAATATTTCTTTTTCACATATCTATAAAAGAGTAAATACAACAAACCCGTATATATGCGGGTCCTTAATCTAGTTAATTTATAAAGTTAGCAAATTTGCAATACTAAAATTGCAATACTAAAGTTAGCAAATTTGCAATACTAAAATTGCAATACTATAAAATCAAGTTTACACTTAAACCATAACTTTCAAAACATATTTCTGATATTAACGATTTGTCCGATTTTGTTTGAGTGATTTCCAACATATTATATATCGATAGTATATTATATTTAATATTAATAAACAAAATTTAATCTTTCTCAAAGAACATAATCCTACAAGAATAGCAAGCTGTCTCCTTTGTATTAACAATTCTGTTCCAACTTTTTTTTTGATAAAACAGCTTTGTTTAACTTAATATATACATGTTGATCACGAAAAGATCATTTGCAGATAATACTTTTCTTTTCCAAAAGTTTCGTTTAATACATTGTAATGGAGCCATTTTAGAATTGACATCATGAATTTTGCCGTCATACTTTATTTTATTTTTCTAATTTTCTTCCACTTGCAAATTTTGTATGAATATTTTTCAGTCACAATAAAAAAAAAACTGGCAACTCCAGAAAAAGAAAATGTCATTGTACCAAATATCAAATTCCGAAACTAGACCAGCCTTTCTTCTTGAAGGTGGAGAATATCATTACATTCAAAGACCAAGATTATAAATTATTTGCACAACTTGCGAGTACTTATCAAACATGAACTAAAGACTTGACTTATAGACATGCGAGATTGCCCAAAAACCCCATCACATGAAGAAATCAAGCACATCACTCTTCGGACATTGGTCCAACATCGCCCCCTTCAGAGATTGGTCCAAGATAGTCCCCTTCAAGGCTAGCCAACGCCTGAAACTCTCTCTCTGCCTCCATCCACTTTATCGCGATCACCACAAATCTTACGGTAGACTCAACCTGAATCCTCGACATCTTCTCGCTCATGAAGATACCGTTCTCTCCCGGGACATACTTGTAATCCGGCATCTTCGCGTAGGAGAGGTAAACATTCTCGATCGGACCACACCTCAGGAAGACACCATGCTTCAACACTTTGTGCACCACACCGTGAAGTATCTCTCCTTTGAAGATCTTGAAAGTGATTCCGCTGAAAACTACCGGGAACATAACTTCACCGGTATGCTCCCTGATTTTGCCTTCTCCGATCTTGTCCAGAGTTGTGACTGCCAAGTAGTAGCCAAGCTCGTTGGTCGCTTTCTTTGAAGCAAATGCGTCTAGTAACTGTATCAGTATAGCCCTCTTCAGCATAAGTCCTTTTGCATCCATGTTTTCAGCTGGAATCATCACATTCCATGGTAACTGGACTTTGAGGAACATTTTTCAACCTTCATAACCAAACCAAACCAATGTCAAATTGCTATATAAATAGAACATACATATACCTACAAATACTTTACTATCCTCACATTCTTTTCAAAGGAGACCAAATAAACAGATTCTAGACACAATCAGAACATAAAGATGATAGAGAAAGAAAAAGGAAGCAGGCACCATTTAATAACCTGATTCTATTTCCCAAGTTAGAATCAAAGTTTCAATTTTTCCAATCGCCTTGGGATTTAAATCTGTGCATGCACCAGTAAAGACCAATCCCACCAATCGACTCTACTCAAACAAAGAATCGGAAACAGGTTTCACATTATACATTGAACACAATCTGAATGAAAAAATATGAACTTTTTTTTTCTCTCAGGCATATAAACAAACAGTTGGCAGGCATGTAAGTATCTAATGGAGAATCATCAAAACTTCATGAAAAAAATATGAACTTTTTTTCTCTCAGGTATATAAACAAACAGTTCGCAGGCATGTAAGCATCTAATGGAGAATCATCAAAACTTCATGAAAAAATATGAACTTTTTTTTCTCCCAGGCATAGAAACAAACAGTTAGCAGGCATGTAAGTATCTAATGGAGGATCATCAAAACTTTCCATCAAGAATTAACAAATTTAAGAGAAAAAATAGACCTAAAAAGCTTTGTGTTTTGCATTTTACGATTATGTACCAAAGTCATCGTTTTTACCACATATTCTTTTAGCAAACCACTGTCCAAGACCCTAGACTAAAAATGACTGAGAAATTGGTTGAGAAAATCATCAGATTAAAGAAGCCATACCTTTGCTTTGGATTCGAAAGGTAAGAAAAGAAGCGAGAATCGGCAACAGAGAGCGAGAGAAAGTGAGAAACTCAGGTGACCTCTGTTTTGGTTTGTTATATGTTGATGGGCTATGAAGGCCCATTAATACTGGGACTATTCCGGCCGGGCCCGTAATTATCCTCAAGATGTCGAAGCAAAGCGGTAAATGATGATGGAAATGTGCATCCAACCCAATACCAAATCTCATTTAAATCTTATTTTGGTGTAAAATCAGTTTCAATCTGTTATTCTTTTTAACACCAAACTGGTATAAATTCATTTTTACACCATATTTTGTATTGATTTTTTTTTTTTAATTTATAATAAAGTCTTTCAAATTAAATCATTTCAAAATCGATGAAAATCATATATAAATGATAATGGTTAAACCAAAGTCTAATATGTTTGGTAATAATGAAACAAAAAATTAA